CTAAACAAGCATATATATATAATTTGACACACGGAAGCAGCTGAACATGGCGGCACCAGCTTTACCCGCCCGCCTGCAGCTCCACCTGCTGGCCTGCAGCAGCAGCTACGCGGCTCACGAGGTGGTGGCGGAGAGCAGCCGCGGCTGGTGGTGCTGGAGCTGCAACAGCAGTGCCTGACGAGCGGCAGCAGCACCAACAGCACCTGGCGGCCTGCAGCTCCCCGTGACGCCCTGCAGTTCCCCTTGACGGACGGTAGCTGCAGCTGGTGACGCCCAGCAGCCGACTGCATCTCCTGGCGACAGCATGGCAGCAGCAGCAGCACCTTGCTCTCTGCAGCTGCACTTTTTCAGCTCCATCTGCCTTGTGAGTAAAAACCCTTCATACATTCTGCCATCACTGTGATAGCTCGTTTGCTTTCTTCTCGCTCTGCCCGCCGTTCACTCTCATCCTGGATGAAGCTTGTTCTGACTTCATCTTGTCTTATGATACTCTCTGAATTTATCAGGTGCAGAGAAGCACCAGCGGCCGGCATAAGGGAGCAGCTGCTGCTGGCGGACAGCAGCAGCCGGCGGCCTGCACCAACAGCAGCGGCTGCCCATGGTAACAGCTGAAGCCCGAGGACTGCATCTCCTACAGCTCCAGCCCTTGTGCACCAATAGCACTGGCAAGCAACGGCTTGCCTTCGCCTTAAACAAAGTGTGTATTCCTTCAGCAGCAGCATGACTTCTCATCTCACTCCGCTTGTGCAATCTTCTGCTCACTCTGCTTCATGATGCTATTTGCAGCTGGCGGACAGCAGCAGCTGGCGCACGATTGCAGCAACTGTTGGCGAGTGGCGTAAGCGATCAGCAGCAGCTGCCCCACGGTAAGCTGGCACACTGAGGGCCGTATCTCCTGCAGCTCTAGCACGTCCTCATACGCTTCTGTCCTTGATCCAGTATTGCTCGTAACAGTGTAATCCTCCATGCAGCAGCATCAGTGACCCCTTGTATGAACTTCTGAAGAATAACTTCTGCTTCCCATTTCAGCTTATAAATGCTCCACACCCCACTCCCCCTCTCACCCATGTGTTTGTGATCATGCACGTGTGCAAACACATGAGTGAGGCGTGTGGAGCTACGTGATGTCCGGTTGTGCAGCACACCTTGAGAAGCCCGCTTGTGTGAGTGCTGCGCCAGCACCATGGACTTGCTGACCACACGCAGATGTTGCTTCACGTGGAATCGGTTCGATGCCGCACATGCGGCTGCAGGTGATGTCGTGTCCATTGGTGGGTACGGGCGGGTCCTTGGTCATGTTTTTAAGCTCCTTGTACGTCAGGTCAACCATGCGCACGCCCGTTGGTGCATATCCCACCTTGCTTCCAGCACCATCTTCATCCTCCACTAGTAGAGACACGCCTGCTGCAGGTAAGCCATTTGCTGCAGCACCTCCTTTTCCTTTGGCTGCATCGACCATAGCAGCTGCATCATGTCCATGTAGATCTTTCTTTGCAGTGTGTCCATCTTCTCCATTTCCTTCTCCCCCTGAAGTCCACACCGCAATGTGGGGTGAGACTTCATTCGTGTGCTGCTGGTGTCCATGCCATGTTTCAGCGTCCAGCAGCATATCATCAAACATGCGCGGTGAGTGAGTGTCCTTGTCACCATTACGTGCCATGTCCCTCACGACACGAGCCATGTGCGCGATACGGTAGGTGACGGATGCAGGAGCAGATTGACCATTCAATCCGCCATGACCATGCGCATTCGATGCTGCATCCTCATGAGTATGTCCAGATACATGGGCAGAATCAAGTGCTGGCTCATATTCCACCATGAGCACTCCATGCACGTTCTTGCCTAGCCCAATCCGTACACCCCCATCTCCATCAGGCATGGAGATTTCGGTGTCTCCACCATCGTTGGTATGAATCCGAGCTCCCTTCTGCAGCAGCTGACAGTAAGAGAGGAGATTGGACTTCAAACCAGGTACGTAGAGCACGTCGGTGTAGCGCACCGTTGTCCCATCGGTTGCATGTACTCTGATTGTGCCCACCATTGAGCTGTTCAGAGTGCTCCTATCAGCAAGCTCCACTTGTACTGGTTTGTCCAACTCCTTCAAACCCTCAAACCACCTTCTGTCTGAGGTCATATGCTGGCTGCATCCGCTGTCCAGTAACCACAGAGAACCTCCAGCACTTGGTGAGGTCGCATGTGACGATCGAACCGTTGCAATACATGTAACCGTCCGTTTGTTGTCTCTCCCTGCTGCCCCTTGCTGCTTTATACCATTGTTGTCACGTTTGGGGCTGCCACCATTTCGAGGAGAGATCGAACGGCCGTTGCTGGTACGTCGGTTGGTCCTCCTTCTGTTTTGTTGTTCCCACCCCGGTGGTGACCATCCTGGTGGTGCCGTGTGACACTTGTAGAACGGGTAGCCCAGTTGCTTGCAAAACCAGCACATGAGAGTTGAGCGTCCGCCCTTTCCATCATTGCCCTTCATTTTCTCTCCGTACGTTGCTTGATGTCCTCCGTTTGAAGTTGCAGCATTCATGGTCCCGGATTTCTCCGTTGCATGTGGTATGTCGATGCACGCTTGACCAACCATGCGTTGCTTCCCGCCGTTTTGATCGTAGGAGTGATGCTTCACCACACCATTTGACTGCATCCCCTGTCCCGTGTGCTCCATGCTCCATGCAGGATCCACTCCCATTAGTGGATGAAGTGCGCGAGAAGGTATGATGCCGTCTTCAAGAAGGTGAGATCTATCCATTACGGGGGCTCCAATGGAATAAGAGTTAGTGGCAAAATGTTGAAGTGGGGGAGTACCAATAGTGTAAGATTCCAATCTCACACCTTCCACGCCCACTTTATCAAATATGCCATTCTCTTCACCAATTTGCATGTTTAACTTCGCTCTCAATGACGCTTGAAGTGTTGGCGGCGCTCTTGCAATCATGTTCTCCAGGTGCTCATGTTGCGCCAACATTGCTTCTTCAACCGCCTTGTATCCAATGTCGACTTCATTGTCGAACACCTCCATACCTTGATCCAATAGTTGCCTCTTGCTATGCCAATTTGCTAATGTGCCTGCCCAATATGAATGATCACTGAGTTCTGACCAAGTTTCGGCAGCATGCCCCCTAGAGTAGCTCTGATACCATGCTAGAAAGGCATAGTGCCGTCGTAGCGGAAGCCTTGATTGTATAAGAGAATAGCAAGAGAAACCTTGCAACTGAAAGGATTCAGGACAATGGAATGGATTATGAGAGCACACAGCAAGGTATTTATCCATGCAGCTACCCTGCCAAAGTTTAGCCATCACCACCAATAATGGTACCTCCAGTAATTCTACCCCCATAGTCCTGAACTCCAATAATGCAGCTTCTACAATAATTGCACAATTATTGTAGGGCCTAGAGGCTTATATAGGGGATTACACTAAAACCTAGCAGCATATATTATTCTGATGCCTTATATTTCCAACAACTTCCAAGTTAGCTTGTGGTGGTGGAGCAACGGGCATGAGTCCAAACAGGTGATTCCTGGGTCGACTCAGAAGTGAGCTTGCGGAGGAGCAAGGGGGTGAGGCTTGAGGAGTCGCAGCATGACTTCATAGACAGCAAAGGTGATGGATGCCGAGGGCATGACTCGCAGCAGGTTGGGCAGAAAGCCCTTGTAGAAACCACGTGCGCCTTCGAGCCTGCGGAAGAGCAAGGGAGAAAGGCAAAACAGAGAACAAAATTTTGAAGCGTCTCAGTTGCCGCAGCAGGTCGGGCAGAAAGCTCTTGTGCAATTTTTTTGAAACCACGTGCACCCTCGAGCCTGGGGAAGACTAAGGGAAAATGCCAGAAAGAGGAGAGGAGTGAGAAGAGAAGCAACATAAGAGAGTGTATGGGGTGTTGCACAAGAGGGCACGACTTGCATCAGGATAAGCAAAAAAAAAACAAAGCAGCAATTCACACCATATATGCAGGATGGTGGAGAGAGGGTAGCATGGTGAGAAAGAACTAAAGTTAATTTTCATCCAGCACCATGGCTCCTCATGAGCACATGCTAGTTCCTGATCACATGTGCAGCTATTGTTGAGGCGCTTCAAAGGCAAGGCCCCTGGGCAAGTGTCAGTTCCTGATCACATGTGTAGATAGAGGGTTTCTGCAACTCACCTCCACATGCTGGTGACGGCATGCCGTGTGTTGCGGTACTTGAGCTGGCCGGCCTCGTCTGGACGCATCTGGATTTACAAGGTCATTGTGGAAATCGGGTATTTAAGTGCTTGGGATGGGAGTAGTGTGAGAAAGTCAAACCCAAGCTGTCGGACCAAAGGAGGAAGCATTTGACCAGGACCTTGAGGATGGTACAAAGTTGGGAGAATGTGCACCAGAAAATTGCAAGAAAAATGCGAGATGCGATTCAAGGAGGAATATGACATAGCAAAAGGCATGGCCAAGCCGATTGTTGTGGGAGGGGTTGGGAGAGTTGGAAAGTAGGCAATGGTGGAGAAGAGGACGAGAATGGAGGCTGGGGTACAATGTGAGGGATGCGAATGGGGGAGGGAGGGAAAGGGGAGACACGAAGTGAAGGGAGCAAGGAAGCGAAGGAAAACCAGGAGAAGAATCGGGGTTTTCAGGGTTTCAGAAGTATGGAGAATGGGAAACACAGCGTGGAGAGTGGGGAGGGGGAAGAAGGGCAGAAGGATAGTACCTGCAGTCGAGCTCGAACTACCTGGTGTGGGTGAGAGGGGCCAAGCAGGGAGGGAGGTATGGAGAAGCAGGGAGCGATGGGCGAGCAGGGAAGCATGGAGAAGGAGGTGGACCGTAGACAAGACGCCAGGTACAGCAGGCGAGGCGGGGAACAAAAGGCAGCAGGCACACACACGCACTACATTTGGAACAAAAGAGATTTGAGTGAATTTGAAAGAGGATCCTGGCCTGTCACACAAAAGGGGAGGCAAAGGCAGAGGAGGTTTGGGCATGTTGGCTGGTGAACTTCACAGTAGATCTAGGTTGACTCATGACCTACCCAGAAGAAGTATCCAGCTTGACAAGTCCGCGGGTGCCATACCTGGTGGTAGGGGCAATGAGAGTCAATGGGTGCTGTACCTGGTAGGGGTAGGTGGCAGAGGCAGCACACAGCTTGGCAGTTGCTCCCACTGCAGCTATGTCCCATGGGGACTATGGGGGAGAGGGAGAGGTGAACGGGGTAGGTAAAGGGAACGATTCGGGGGGGAAAGAGAGATGGGTTGGGCTGGGTGCAGTGGAGGACAGATGAAGGGCAACACAGGACTGGGAGGTGCAGCAAGATAATGTGATTCTTTTTATTCTCTTTTTTTTCCTCATGATGGCATGGGTTGTAACAACTGATTTTGCACTGTTTGCAGGGTAGTGATGGATGGCTTCCATAAACGTTTTGCGCAGTAAGATGAAAGCACTGACCAGCTCTGTTACAGCAGGAAGAGAGAAGGAGGAGGGATGTGAGTCAACGTGTGGTGGAGAGGGTGTACGTGGTGCCCATGCTGTGGGTGATCGCAGAGCCAGCATGAGCTGCTTCAGCTCCTCATACGCCGCCATCTGAATGGCCCCATGCGACACCTGCATAAACGCAGATGAAAGTGCGGTGCAGAAGGGTATAGGGGGATACATGGGTGTGGTTGGGAGGGTGGGTGTGCTGTCCACGCTGTGGGAGATCTGAGAGCCAGCATGAGCTGCTTCAGCTCCTCATACGCCGCCATCTGAATGGCACCGTGCGACACCTGAAACAATGTGGATCACAGAGCGGTGCAGAGGGGTACAGGGGAGTATATGCATGGGTAGATGGTAGCAAGGGGTATAGAGAGATGGGGGTCTGTCAGATAAACGCGTACAAGGCAGTACCAACCGAAGTTAAGGAATTCTGTATCTATCTACAGGGCATAAAATAAAGTACACATGACAGCCTGGCAGGTAGAGGATAACATGACCGAGCCGAACTGAAGTACCAGAAATGAGGTTCTCGCCTAAGGAATGCAAAGGTAAGGCTCGGGCCTACACTTTACCAATACAAGGCTCGGGCCTAAGCCTTACCAAGACAAGGCTCGGGCAAAGCTTTTACCAGGAAGGATAGGCGCAGGCCTGAGCCTTACCATGATGAAGCACAGGCGCATGCCTTACCAAGACCAGGCTTGGACCGATGCCTCTGTACAGCCCTCTAACGCCCTCCTCCTTCACTATTGACCAGATGGCGTCTGGTGAGAGGACGATGGGGAGATCACAGGAGAGAACGGGAGAGAATGGGAGAGAATGGGAGAGAATGGGAGAAAAGAAGAGACAAAGGGTGACAGGGAGTCTTGTGTGGAAGGAAAGAGGAAAGTGGGCCACATGACCAAGTATGGCTGTGGTGGAGATGGGAGAAAGGGAAATGGTGAGGCTTGGGTTTATGCCTCTGTAGGGTACTCTCTTGCCCTCTTTCACCCTTGATGCATGAGCAGATGACAGGTGGAGAATGAAGGGGGAGAGAGCTAGAAATGTGAGGCGTCCTTCAGATTATTACAGACCCTTCTCATTATGCAAAAAGGATCCGAGAGTATGGAAGAAGGGGTCAGATTTGAAGGGCGGAAGTATGAAAAAGGGATCAAAAAGCTGAATGAAACAAAGGAAGCGTGCGTGGATGATGCTGAGGAGGAAAAAAATTACAGCAATAATGAAGACTCGACAGAACGAACTGTTGTCACTAAAACGAGGGCGGGAGGAGGAGGGGAGAGGAGAAGAGTGTGTGAGTGAGTGTGAACGACGATGGATAGTGAGGGCGACCGAGCAAGGGAACGATGGGAGAGTGGGGAAATATCTGAGAAGCAGAAAGGGCAGTGTGACACCAATAGGCATCATCAAAGAGAGCGACGCAACAAGGGGGGGAGGGGAGGAGGGGGGGGAGAGGAAGGGAAAGGCCGGGGCGGGGAGGTGTTTAGGGGGGGGCAGGGTGGGGAGGGAGGGAGGGTACAGAACAAGAAGTGAAATAGAAGAGAGCAGGGAGGAGGGCGTGTCACCATGAAGCACCATGAAAGCCTCGGTATTGCCGGGGGCGAAGGGGTACGGCTGGTGCTGTCGGCCTTGATGCTGCTGCACCTGGTGGTGAGGGTGGTTGTGTGCCAGCAGCACTGGTCGAACTGGCAGCACTGGCGGGTGCAGCATGGTGTGGTGGTCCCTTGGGATGCACGGCTCCCTGCAGCTGTAGACGCGTCTTGGCGAGCCAGATGGGGTTGGTCAGGAGGACCACCTACTCAGGAGGGGAGAAAGGGAGAGGAGTGGTAAGCTATGACAGCAGTGGCAGCACTGGGGGCCGCTGCATGGTGTGGTGGTCCCTTGGGATCCATGGCCCCCTGCAGCTGCAGGCGCGTCTTGGCGAGCCAGATAGGGTTGGTGAGAAGCACGACCTGTTAAGGAGGGGAGAAAGGGTGAGGGGTGGGGTAGAGGGGCGAAAGGGGGAGCGATGCAGGGAGACAAAGGTTGAGTGTGCGCAAGGTTGGAACTCGAGAGGCATGAGCAATAAGAAACGGATCGTATGGCGATGGAGGGAAACGATAGCCTGTTTCTGATTCATGCTTGTGATATAGGCATCACTACACTATTGTCTGGGATGACAAGTGCTGTAGGAATATGAGAAGAAGCATCTTAAAGCACAACCCGAGATACATATCACACAACATGAACTCAATCAAACTGCGAGAAAAGCAAGACAAGCCCAGGAAACGCATACCAAAATGCCAGTCTCAGTGGCAGCAGCCAAATTCACCAATGTTGAGCTCCAGCTCTTAGTGTTGTTGCAGGGTGTTTTTGAGAATTGTCAAAAACATCAGGAAACGCATACCAGAATGCCAGTCTCAGTGGCAGCGGCCAGATTCACCAATGTTGAGCTCCGGCTCTTATCACTCCTCTCCACCTCCACCCCTCCACTGCTCTTGCTGCTTTCGTTGCTGCATGACTCTATCTCGTCTCCTACAACTGCTCCTTGTTCTCTGCCATCACTCCTCCCCTTATCCCCACCGCCCGTGTGCACTGCATCAGTCCGACTCCCACCACCAGGAGGAGAGCCACTCCTTCGAGCCCCCACTCCAACAGCAGCAGCATCTGATTCCAAACTGGCTCTACCGACTTGTTCCCCTCCAGTAGCCCCCCCTTGGATCGACAATTCTCCTTCTCCTGAAGCACCATGAGCGACAGTGGTGGAGCTTGAAGTTGAACCCTCACTTAATCTGTCCTCCCCGCAATTGCGGCTACCGCCACTGCCATCACGAGCAGCACCAGGAGCAGCAATGGTGGAGGCGCCAACTCGTTCTGAAAGCCTTTCCATTGAAACGACCGGGCTGCTCTGCTCTGTGCTTGGCCGATGGCTGCTGCCGCTGCTGCTGCCACTGCCATTGTGGCTCCTGGCACACTTGCTGCTACTGCTTCCACATCGTCTGTCACTGTTGCTGCTAACGGTGCTCGTCAGAGCACTAAAGTAAGCCGTGTACCGCTCTTTGGCATGGCTGTACCTGTACAACAATGAAGGAGTGGAGAACAGAGGAAATTTTGAGGCGCCTCAAACATCCTCTTTGGCATGGCTGTACCTGTACAACAATGGAGTGAAGAACAGAGGAAATCATTTGGAGTTAAACGAAGAAAGGTGGTGGGGGGTACACGGCAGGGGTAAGGAATCAGAGTGGTGAGGAGGAGCAAGAGAGAAGAAGAAAGGGAGGGGTCGGAAGCAGCAAGCGGGGAAGCTGGAAAGCATCAGGTGGGGGGAAACGCCAATGGAAAGAAAGAAATAATAAAGGAACAATGTTAGGAAGAGTGGCGAGACATTGGAAAGGGAAGAAGGCAACAGAGTAGGTCGAGGCATAAACGCCAAGCACTGACAGGAAGAAGTAGAGAGCCCAGGAGAGAGAGGAGCCGACCATGGATGGGTATAGGCCCGCATACAGGCCTCGTATGCCCTGATGGGGAGGTGTAGGTGAGGGGAATGGACGGGAAGGGAGGGAGAAGAGTTTTTGCCTAAACCCTAAATCAGGTCCTTCAGAACTGAACTTCGGATGCATAAAGCGCGGCAGAGATCACGTGTGTAGCATGTAAGTTCGAATGTATGCACCGGATCTAGAGATAGTGGTGATGGCACTGATGACACATGCAGGAGGGAACATCATGAAATTCAAATCAAATCTATACCTCGGATCTAGAGATGGTGGTGATGGCACTGACGACGCCACGATAGCGAGGAATTGCGGGATCCCTCCCGTCATTCACTGCACGGCGGGACGCGCGGGGACGGGAGGGGGTGATGGGAGGACATAGGCGGGAGACAAGAGAGAGAGGAATGAGGGAAGTGGGAGGATAAATGACGGTGAGAGAGCTAGTAGGGTGTGGTGTAGGACGTTGATTACTAACCTTGAAACCTGGTTCGCACGATGTCAAGGGGGTGGAGAATGGCGACGGTCGCCATGCCTGCAACAGCTCCTGCGATGGCCTCGGGACGATTCCACGTCTTTCGACGGCCATTCCCGGCAGGCCGCGGTGCTTGCGATCCGTCATTTGCTTCTTCCGAACCCACTTCTGTCATCGCTCCAGTAGCTAGCTTCGTAAGTTTCGATATCTGAGGCGCCTCAAAAATCTTCTGTCATCAGTCGAGTAGGTCGCATCGAAGATTGCCGCGTATTACTTGCGCACTCGTCCAGCCTCGGGATGGTATTTAATCAATCGCGCTCATCGGACTCATCGCATCCACGGAGCCTCGCAACGCCCCCCTCGCTAGTACCTGTAATTACAGGGTCTGTTCACCATTTCCTGTCAGAATGTCTGGCGTTTTATTGTTGTGCGGAGATTGGTACGGTGAATCGTGACTGGATGGATAGACACATGCGACCATTGGGAGATTATTTGTCCTGGACGCCGATGGCTTACAATCGGTATCCCAGGAGGAGACGTGGTTATGGCGTGTCCCTTCAAAAAGCTTCTCTACTCCGTAAAGCTCCGTGTCGCAAACTAGGTGGGGTATGTACAGGAAAAAGGACCACGTGGGGTATGCACAGGAAAAAGGACCACGTGGGGTATGCACAGGAAAAAGGACCACGTGGGGTATGCACAGGAAAAAGGACCAGGCGGGGTTAGAGCCCGCGAATCAGTCAGAGAGATTGGTTGGGTTGTGCTACTGGTCCTGATTTCGTCATGAACAGTTAATATTAGTTCAAAAAAATATAGTTTGGGTCCCGAACAAACAAAGCCATGTCACCTTGCAGATGTTTTCGAGGACTTGGCAGCCCAATGCCGAAGGATGGAATACTTCTCGCTCATTTTTTGTTAGTCAACGGCGCGCTATGTGCTCTATGGGTTCTCAATTGATGCGCTCAAGGAACCCGCAGACTCGAAAGGAAGGCGGTCGCTACCACGTATGCTGCGATCGTGTCGCCCAACATGTTCAATGACAGATGCACTGAATTCCACAGGGTTAATTTGTTTCGGTGCGCTTCATTCATAAAAAAATGGTCGTCAAGGCGTTTCACGAAGAAGGTGTTTGCAGCTTCAATCTGGCAGTGTTGTCCACGTCTCCACACCGTGGTTTATTCTGTGGTTGAGAATTCATGGTAGTCTGCAAAGGCCACGGACAAAAGCCAGAAGCTTCGTGATTCCCTGTTTGACACACGGAATGAGCCTAACGGCTAGTGGTCGGTCCACACCATAAATTGAACGGATCCAGCAAACTTGCAATGACGCGAGATGGCTTCAGCAATGCAACGACTGAACCACATCGTTTCGTGCCTCCTGTGGCCAGCCACACGCTTGTGGTCCCTTGGGGCTCGTCAGATCGCCGACATCAGAGCTAATCCGCAGCTGGTCTCTTTGGCAGTCAAATCCGGGCTCGCAGCTACACTAGCCGCTGTGGTTTGCGTTCTTGAGGATCCCATTCCAGACCTGACAGAGATTGGAATATGGGCTGTGGTAACTGTGGACCTGGTGTTCGAGCCCACAGTCGGATCTTCACTAGGGTAATGGAAGGACACGCTCAGTTCTCCCTTTTCTGGCGGGTCTTCACTCCGACTGATAACGTTTTCTGGGCTGTGCAGCAAAGGCATCAACAGAACGGCTGGTACCCTTTTGGCAGCAGTTCTCGCATTTGGTGTCAACCATGCAACGCCTCACCTTGGGGATGTGAAGCCTCTTTTTCTGGCCATACTTGTGTTTCTGGGTAGTGTCGTTCCGACCTACTACAGATATCGGCCGCCGTTCAAGGATACGTAAGGCCTTATTCTTGGTCAACTTGGATATCTGTTGTGAGCCAGTGATCTGACGATGGTTTTGTGCAGGTGGAGTTATTCCTTTCTCATGATGTCTCTCACCTTCCACATTTTGATACTATCTGGTTACCGCCATGAGGAGAAATTCTATTACCCCTTGGCACGGTTGGTGATGATCATGCTGGGATTCACAAGTGTTGGACTGGTTCACATCTTCATTCAGCCGGCATATTCTGGAGACCTTCTTCACAATCTCCTTGTTAGTAGACTGAAATTAGTTGCAGCCGAGCTGGACAGGTATGAGCTGTTGTTTTCCTGCTTCGACTAACTCATTTTATATAAGCTAACGCAATCCTCATCTCAGGTGTGGGAATTACTGCGTTCTGGAACACAGTTCTACAGACAACGTGATGAAAGTTTGCAGCAACATCCTTTTTTCCCAAGCTGAAGTAGACAAGCATGTAAGTAACCATAATCTCCAGCAAGCTATCTGTCTACACAGTCTGGGGAGTTCTTACTATCGTTTTTGCTTTTCAGCTATCAGCTATCCAGTTTGAGCCACCACATGGAAGGTTTTTTCATAAGTATCCCTGGAAGACATATGGTCAAGTTTTGACCAGTCTTCAGAATTTTAATCTCACCGTAATTACCATGGAATCAAGTATGCATGCTGCTGTTCACGGAAATACCTCTCTGAGGCAGGATTTGGGAATGGAGATGAAGGATTTGCTGCATGAGTGTTCAAGGTACGTCCATGCAAGAATCTATAAGGCACAGTAATGATCAGCACTTTTCATTGTAACACCTTAATTATTACTGTTTTACTATACAGGGTTGTGATGATGCTAGCTGCGTCCATGGAGAAATTCATTTGGGAAGGAAGACCACCACTGGTTCTTCTGCACTCCCAGAATGACTTTTTGAAAGAGAAAGCTCTACACAGCTTGCAGCAGTTAGTACATCCCAAGTCAGCAGCGGAAGTTGAAAGTGCATCTGACTTCTCATGCTCTTGCTCAGACATAAGTGCCATGAGCCCAACTGCATGGTTTACAGATTTTAAGTTGATGGACAGTTTACTCTCCCCACGCTTTGATACTCGCAGGTAAGTAGCGCACTTGTCCTGTCTATTCTATACTCTCCTGTTCAGCCCAATTCTCATCAGTGGCCGTTATTACCTCTTCTCCCTCACTCCCTTTTACCGTATCCCAGGATTCCTCATTTGACTAACATCCTATCTTGCTGTTTCGTTCCCTCCCAGCATTTCTCTCATGTGCCAATTATCCCTTTTCCCCCACCATCCCATTCTCAGTCAAACTACCGTAAAAGGGCTTGCCATCTCTGGTGTTAACTTATTTGAAATTTTTCCCTGAGTTGTGCAGGAAATATCTGCTGCAGACCAGTCAATCGCACTGCTCCTTTCCGACGGTAGCAGCAAGTGCTTTAGCCTTCAACAAGACCTCTGCTCCGACTGCTCTCCCTTTTCTGCGGGCCCTGTTAAATATGCTTGAAGTTCTTTCCAATCTACTCAGCTTGGTTGATGCTGTGGAGAACATGGCTATTGGTTGTAGATTTAGTATGTCTGACAAGAACGATCATGCATTTGTTGACATTTGATGGATGGTAGATCAGACTACAAACACTAGCTCAACCTGTTTATGGTACTGGACCAGATTATTGCACTACGAACTCTTAGCCTTTTATTATAAAAAAAACATGGGCATGTGGGTGTCAAATGGCTATTTTATAATGTTAGGCTACAGTGAGATAGCTTCTAGCTAGAGGATACAACCCATTTAGGGACTTAAAACCGAAATGCAAAATAGTGAACCCGTCTCCAGCTTGAAAGAGAGCTCGTCGAGCGAAACAATTTTCAAAACCAAACCGACAAGTTTGCACTGTTTCATTGAGAGGGTTTGAACAGATCGAACAAATCTGATTGGTTCCCGCCAAAACTGAAAAAAGGAACACAGCACGTCAAGCGTCGCATCTCTGTTTGGGGAGCCGCAGAGCAGAAGTACTGCGATCGTTTTGTCACGTCCCTGACTCCCTGCGATTTTTTCCCCAGCTTGTGGTTCAAGTTGGGCATGGGTGAAGCACAACCGTCATCGCCCGGATATAAGACATATATGTCTTATCTCATACACTAAAAAAAATGCTTGGGTTATCTTGTATTTGGGGAGGTTTTGGGTGTCTTATGTCAGATTTATATGACCTAGCTACTGTAGGCTATAGTGGGGTAGCACATATGGGGTACAGTTTTCTAGGGTTTACATTTGTACCCAACTTTCCCTTAGTCAACCCATTCCTCGTTTCTTCTCATGGTATCGAGCAGGTTCCCTAGTGGGAACACTTCCTAGGGCCCACCACGAAATTTTTTTTTTCTGCCCGGAGCGCGCTTCGCTCCTGCCCGAGTCGCGCCCTGTGTGCCCTCCCTACCGTCGCGCCCTCTCACGGCCCCTCACGGCCCCTTCGCGTCGCCCTTAGCGGCCCCTCTCACGGCCCCTTGCGCCGCCCTTACGGCCCCTCGTGCCACCCTTACGGCCCCTCGCGCCGCCCTTACGGCCCCTTACGGCCCCTCGCGCCGCCCGTCGGCCCCTCGCGCCGTCCCTTACGGCCCCTCGCGCGGCCCCTTACGCCCCTTACGGCCCCTCCCGCGGCCCCTCACGGCCCCCTACGGCCCGTCGCCGCCCTCCGCGGCCCCTCGCGCCGCCCTATCACGGCCCCTTCGCGCCCTTCGCGGCCTCTCGCGGCCCTGTCGCCGCCCCCTCCGGCCCGCCGTCGCCGCCCCTGCCGCAGCAGCCGCCGCAGTCCCTACAGCAGCGGCCGCCGCCGTCCCTGCAGCAGCAGCTGCAGCCGTCGCCAGCAGCAGCCGCCACCACCTCCCTCGGGGCCGCAGCTGCTGCCGCCGCTGACTGCACCCGCCGGTGCGCCTCGGCCCTACTGGCGCCGCTCCACCCGGCCCCGCCGCCGCTCCCCGAGCGGCCCCGCCGTCACCACCGAGCCGCCGGCGCCGCCGAGCTGCTGCCGAGCTGCCCGATCCACCCAAGCCGCCCGAGCCGCCGCGCCACCTGAGCCGCCCGTGCTGCCGAGCCGCCGTACCGCCGAGCCGCCCGAGCCGCCCGAGCCGCCGAGTCGCCGAGCCGCTGTTGCTGCCGAGCCGCCGAGCCGCCGAGCCACCCGAGCCGCCCTGTCTGGTAAGAGCAGCGCCTCTGTCACTGCACTGCCCTTACCCTACTGTTCGCGCTGCTAGTCTACTACTGTCATGGCTACCCCTAGTGTCCTCGCTTTTGACACTGAGGGTCGGGCCATTGACTTTGACGTCTGGATAGATGACCTGCAGCTTTTCCTACAGTGCGATAGGGCAGACGGTCTCTCCCTCTTTGACCTCACCTCTGGTGCCTCTCCTGCCCCTGCTGCTGATGCCGACGCCACTGTTCGCTCACAGTGGGCCACTCGCGATGCTGCTGCACGTCTTGCTGTGCGTCGCCACCTGCCTACCTCTGAGCGTGCGCACTTTAGCCAGTACAAGAGTGCTCAGACCTTGTACGACGCTGTAGTTGCACGCTACTCCTCCCCTGCCACTGCTGCACTGAGCCGCCTCATGCTACCGTACCTCTTCCCTGACCTTGCTGCCTTTCCCACAGTCGCTGACCTCATTACGCACCTCCGCACTAGTGACACTCGCTACCGCGCTGCGCTTCCTGCTGAGTTCTGCGCCAAGAACCCCCCCCCCATGTACATCACCCTCTACTACATAGTCACCCGGCTCCCTGACTCCCTTCGCGTAGTCAGGGACCACTTCCTCTCAGTTTGCCCCACCACTCTCACCGTTGACCTCCTCGAGAAGGCCCTCCTAGCAGCAGAAAAGAGCATAGTAGCTGTAGGAGCCTCTCGTGGTGACCCTCGCACCCCCATCTTTGAGGGGTGTTCCCCCTCCCCCCTTTTGCCCTCTGTTGCCTCTGCTGCTGCGGCCGACCTCGTTGGGCTTGAGTCGGTCGGTGCGGCGTCTACCCCTACCGGGAGACGCCGCCCTGGCAAGGGCAAGGGGGGCAGGGGCACTGGAGGAGCTAGCGGGGGCGGTGGAGGCGGCGGTGGAGGCGGTGGAGGGGGTGGGGGTGCCGGTGGGGGTGGTGGCGGGGGTGGAGGTGTCGGTGGCGGCAGTGGAGGCGGAGGCGGCGGCGGCGGTGGCGGTGGGAGCGGAGGTGGCGGCGGTGGAGGAGGCGGCGGCGGAGGAGGTGGAGCTGGTCGGGGTGGCACTGCGCAGAGGGTCGGCTCCGGTGGTGGTCAGCGCCAGCAGCAGCAGCAGCAGCAGCAGCGCACTCGTGACATCCCCCCCCCTCAGCAGCTCCGTGAGTGGTACGCTGCACGCCAGCGGGGTGGGGGTACTGGTCCGTGCACCTACGTCCTACGCACCGGAGACCGCGCGGGTGAGCAGTGCTGGGGTGCGCACTCCACCCAGCGCTGCTTTGGCCGCCTGACGGACGCTTGGCGTCACCAGTTCCCTGAGGCCACTGAGATCCCCGCTGGGGTGAGCTGTCTAGGGCGGGTGTAGCTGTCTTTGACATTGACTTTGATGCTATTCTTGCTGCCATGTATGCTGTGACTATTAGTGATGAGGGTGACTGTTACCGGTGTTTTCCGCCCGACCCGGGCATTGAGTCTGCTGCTCTAGGTACTGGTGAGGCTGCTGCTCTAGGTGCTAGCGAGGCTGCTGCTCTAGGTGCTCGTGCGTCTGCTCCCTCAGGTGCTGGTGAGTCTGCTCTCTCAGGTTCTGCGTCGGCTTCGGCCTCCCACACCTTCACCCTTGACTCGGGGGCTTCTCGCTCCTTCTTTCGAGACCGCACCACACTCACGCCGCTTGGCCGGCCAGTTGCAGTCTCTCTGGCAGACCCCTCTGGGGGTCCTGTCCTTGCTCACTTCTCCACTGTCCTCCCGTGTCCGGCGGCCCCCTCTGGCACCCTGTCTGGTCTTTACCTCCCCTCGTTCTCTACGAACTTGGTGAGTGGTGCTGACCTACAGGATGCGGGGGTTCACCAGTTCACTCCTGCGAGTCAGCGGGTGACCCACTGCACGGACGCTCGGACAGGCCGACACCTGGCCACGTTTACACGTCGGCCGGGGTCGAGCCTGTACACACTGACCACTGCGTCTCCTCCAGTCACTGCGTCTGGTCAGGTAGCTGCGTCGGGTCAGGTGTTTGCTGCAGCGTCCAGGTCTGCTCCTGAGTCTGCCCCCTGTTCGTGTCGCCTTCTGTCTCACGAGACTCTCCTCTGGCACCACCGCCTTGGTCACCCCTCCCTGCTTCGTCTCCGAGGCATGGCCTCCCGTGTCCTTGTCTCTGGTCCTTGTCCTTGTCCCTCCCTCCCCTTCCTCCGGGGCCTGGCCCTACCTGCGTCCCCTGTGTCGAGGGGCGGCAGCGGGCTGCCCCTCACTCCTCCCAGTTTCCTCCGACAGAGGCCCCGCTGCAGACGCTTCACATGGACGTGTGGGGCCCGGCCCGCGTCCGTGGACAGGGTCACGAGCGCTACTTCCTGCTGGTGGTAGACGACTACTCGCGTTACACCACAGTCTTCCCCTTGCGCAGCAAGGGTGATGTCACTGAGGTGTTGATCGATTGGATCCGCACAGCTCGTCTCCAGCTCAGGCAGAGCTTCGGCTCGGACTTTCCTGTTCTGCGTCTGCACTCTGACAGAGGTGGAGAGTTCTCCTCTGGCCTTCTGCGAGCCTACTGTCATGCACGAGGCATCCGCCAGACCTTCACGCTTCCGGACTCTCCACAGCAAAATGGGATTGCTGAGCGCCGCATTGGCATGGTCATGGACGTTGCCCGTACGTCCATGATGCATGCGGCTGCCCCCCATTTTCTGTGGCCGTTTGCGGTTCGGTACGCGGCGCATCAGATCAACCTTCACCCCAGGGTCTCCATGCCGGAGACCTCCCCAGCTTTGCTGTGGACGGGGAAGGTTGGCGATGCGTCTGCGTTCCGTGTCTGGGGATCTCGGGCGTTTGTCCGCGACTTGTCTGCGGACAAGCTGTCCCCTCGTGCTGCTCCTTGCATCTTCCTTGGCTTCCCCCCTGACGCGCCAGGGTGGCAGTTCTACCACCCCACCTCTCGCCGTGTTCTGTCCTCCCAGGACGTCACGTTTGACGAGTCGGTCCCCTACTACCGCCTCTTCCCCTACCGCACTCCGTCCCTCCCCCCGCCACCGCTCTTCCTTGTGCCAGGTCCCCCCCCGGTAGACCCCCTCCCCCCTCAGGGTCCTGCCCCTTCAGGTGTGTCCCAGGTAGACGCAGTCGAGCCTGTCGAGGTTACTGGTGACTCTGGTGCTGCTGAGGGTGCTGTGCCTGGGGGTGCTGACTCTGGGGGTGCTGAGCGTGTGGGTGCTACGCCTGGGGGTGCTGAGCCTGAGGGTGCTACTACTGGGGGTC